TCGGAAGAGAATATGCAAACGAGAGTGCGAGATTTGCAAATGAGCGCTCCGTTTGCATTTCCTCTTCTGAAAAACGGCCGCAGGGTAGACATAGCCTCTGTGTCTATGTGCCCCTGGCATGTCCAAGGCACCACACTGGTTTAGGGATTATCTCCTGCCAGCCCCTGGGAAGTAGGATCACTTGCTCCTCCCTTTGCAGAAGAGCAGGAAGTCCAAAGAGCTCAGGGGCCTGGACTGGCTGCACACAGAGCCTGAGATGCTGGGACGCTGAGCCTGGCAGCACTAACTTTTAGGCACCTAGAAAATCACAGGAACAGCCTGTGACCCATACAGCTGGAGCTAGGGCCCTGGGCTCCCAGCACTGAATGTGCGGGAAGACACCTGATACTATCACCCACACAGCCAGAGAGAGGGGCTGGAGCTCCCATACACTGAGGCTACGTCTACACTGGCATGATTTTCCGGAAAAGCTTTTAACGGAAAAGTTTTCCATTAAAAGCATTTTCGGAAAAGAGCATCTAGATTGGCACGGACGCTTTTCCACTTTTTGCGGAAAAGCGTCCGTGCCAATCTAGACGCGCTTTTGCGCAAAAAAGCCCCAATTGCCATTTTCGCCATCGGGGCTTTTTTGCGCAAAACAGTACTGTGCTGTCTACACTGGCCCTCTTGCGCAAATGATTTGTGCAAGAGGGCTTTTGCCCAAACGGGAGCAGCGTAGTATTTCCGCAAGAACACTGACAATCTTACATGAGATTGTCAGTGTTCTTGCGGAAATTCAAGCGGCCAGTGTAGACAGCTGACAAGTTTTTCCGCAAAAGCAGATGATTTTGCGGAAAAACTTGCCGGTCTAGACACAGCCTGAGGGTGTCTACACTGCCGGGCTGAACCTGAAATAAGCTATGCAAATTGAGCGATGTCAATTGCGCATCTTATTTTGCAATAGCTTATTTCAAAATAGGGAGCGTCTACACAGCACTGATTTCGAAATAGAGCCCTCTTCCTCTGACTTCCCTTGTTCCTCGTACAATGAGGGTTGCAGGAGTCGGAGTGAGCAGTCCTCCAGCTTGTCCGGATGTGGACACTATATTGAAATAACTGCCTGCCGTGTAGACGCGGACTAAGTTATTTCAGAATAGCGCTTGTTATTTCGGAACAGTGTTGCAGTGTAGACATACCCTGAATGGGGGGGAGAGGTGCCTGACACTGTGACCCACACTCCAACAGCTGGTGGGAACCACCTAAGCCAGCGAATGGGAGATGCCAGGCAGAGGGGGTGTGCACTAAACCCTGCCCAATCACAGAGTAAGGCACCTAAGCTCTGGCTGCAAGGCAGTGCCCAGCTCTGTTAGGGAGTCACCTGGGAGCCCCTCACACCTTTCTGGGGCAAATGGGCGAGGCTGCCTCTCCCCACAGCAACCTGTCTCAGGAGGAGCAGCAGCTACAAGCCCAGGAGATAGAGCCCTTGCCAGGCCCCTGGGCAACGTGTTCGAGTCCCCCCCTCTAGCCCTAGCCTAGCATCACTGCAGCATGCGGGTGCCCAGCAGCTCTGAGCTTGCCCCAGTCAGCAGGCGCCTTTTGCTGTCCTGTCACCCCACTGCCTGCTGTGCGTGGTGCCCCTGCCGGTCCTCCTTGCCAAGGTGAAGCAGGCAGCTCTGCGGGCCAAGGTGACCTGTCTGGCTGTAAGGAGCTGTCCACACAGTCCCCTCCCCGGCAGGGTCTGTCTGATTACCCAGCGTGGGGGGAGATTAGCCAGCCTGAAAAGGCAAAGTTCATTCGAAATGGGCAGCTGGCCAGGGCTGGGGGCACCAAGCAGTGACTGGCGGCAGAGGGAGGCGCAGGGGGCAGGCTGAAGGCCTGAGGCTCTGGCTGGGAGACTCCCCCAGTCGCGGTGGGGTGAGGGTGGAGCTTTCTAGACTCCCCTGAAATCGCTTGTTCAAAGCCCCCTCTCCCTGCCGGGAGACTCACGGTCTTATCAGTCTTGCCAGCTGCTCTCTCAGCTGGCCCCAGCCCCTCCTGCTCTCCCAAGCAGGGTGGAGCCCAGCCAAGGTCTCTGCCTCACCTAGGACACCCGTCAGCACCGAGAGACCCTGAGGGCCTCACCTGGCCAGCCCTGCATTAGGGGGAGCATTGGGTCCAGCTCCTGGCTCTGCCCCTGTGGAAACACAGGTGGGGGCCCTGCCGGGGCCCCGCCCCATCCCCGCCCCTCAGCCTAACTCCCTCCCTCCCTTCCCCTGTGCCTGCTCACCGACAGTGTGGGCTGGGGGTGTGAGGCTGGAGCAGGTGGGGGACTGGCTCCCCACAAGCAGGGACTCTGCTCCCTCCCTCGCAGGCAGATCCAAACTGATTTACTTCACAGCCTGGGTGGAATTTGAACTTTGAACTTGAAGGGGGAGGCCAGGAGGAGCGGCGAGGGGGGGGGGAAGCAGCAGATACAAACACACACACACTCGGGTTGACACACACTGGGCCTGGCACATACACATGGGGGCTCACCCCTCCCTGTGTATTTGGGCAGTGAGCTCCAATTCTTTAAGCACAAGATCCTTTTTTGAATGTAAGCGCAATCCAGGATCTACCTCCAACCCAAATACCCCTGCCCCGCCTCTTTGTGCCCCTTCGCCAAGGCCCCGCTCCTGCTCACTCCATCCTCCCTTCCTCCCCCATCCTTCCTCCCTTTCATCCAGCAGAGGGTTGGGGGGCTCTGGTCTTGGGTTAAGGGATTTGGAGTGTGAGAAGGGCTCTGAGCTGAGCCTGAGGCAGGGGTTGGGTGAAGGAGGAGGTTCAGGGTGCAGGCTCTGTATGGGAGTTTGGGTCTAGGGGGGCATGGGGTGCAGGAGGGGGTTCATGATTGGGGCTAGGGGTTCAGGATGCAGGCTCCAGCTGGGCACTGCTGACCTCAGGTGTCTCCTGGGTGGTGGTGCAGGCTCACCCCTGCCCTGGCCCTGAACTACTCTCCAAAGCAAGCAGCAAACTCCCACATCCAAGCCCTGTTGTGCCCCCCACCCCCATTCTGTGGAGCTAGAATACAGGGTGGGAGGGGGGCCACCCTGACATCAGTGCCCCCTCCCCTCCCTTCCTTGCCCTGCACAGCAAATGGGGGCGGGGGACAGTTCTAAGGCAAAGGGCAGAAGGTGCACAGCATTGTGGGGAGGGGCAGCTGAAGTGCTGGCATTTGACAGCTTCTTGCCCAAACCAGTCAAGATCACCAGTCAGATGCTCCAAGATCCCGATCTAATGGTCGGTGACCACTGCATTAGGGCATACGCATGCTCTCCGGGTGCACTCGTGCATGAGCGTGCACACACACATACACACTCACACTCAGCCCAGCCTGCAGATTAATTGGCCCTAGGGCCATTACCTGATTGCCCTAGGGCTTAGAAGTTGGTCCTGCCTGGGCCCCTCCGGGCCCAGACGCTCTGGGAAGCTGGACTAGGGGCAATGCGAGGCCAAGGTTGTCAGTCCGAGAGGGAAGTGTTTGTCTGTCTCTCCTCATGGCCTTTCAGTACCCCCATCCCAGCAGGCTAAACCCAGCCTCCTGTCCCTGGCTGAGCCCAGCATCCACTGCCCCTCTACTCTCTGCTCAGAGTGTGAGACTCCGGGAACTCCCTCTGCAGCTCAGGAATGGGGCCAGACTGGTTCAGCTGCCCCTGAACAGGCTGGAGCTGGCATCAGGGCCTGCCCTGGGCAGAGTGAGCTCCCCGAACACAAGCTGTGACCCAGGCTACAGAGAATCTGTGTGGGGCTATAACACAAGAAGGGGTCAGTTCCAACTCCATCCAGTAGGGGGCAGCAATCTGTTTGTCTGGCACCCACCCTAGTCACTCCATTAGCCTCTGGACTCAGGGTGGGGTGGGGTGGGGCAGGGAGATTTCCAAAGGTGCTCAGCACACTGGGTGTCCACTTGGATCTCCTGACAGCCCCCAAGGGTGCACCATGTTTTCCTTCTCATTTCCCCCTTTGAATCCTGCCCAGGGCAATGGTGATGAAAGCACCTGGCTGGGGCTCATTGGGAGCTTATATGGAATGATCTGGCTCCTGGTGCTTGCACCTGAGATGCGTCATTGCACGGACTGAGCTCTCCCTCCCCAGGCAGGGCTGGGGCAGGCAGGAGGATCGGTCAGGGGCAGCCCCTTCCAAGGGACAGATGCCCCCACAAGCCGTGTCCCAGCTGCAGTCTGCATCAAGCACCTCCAAGAAGGGCGCAGCTCCAGTCCCCTCCTGGTGGTCTACTGGCACTGGGGAGAGCGGCGCAGAGCTGCCCTGATTAATGCTCCAATCCCCAGGCGATCAAGACCGATTTCCTGCTAATGAAACTTTGAAAAGCTTCATTAATCTGTACTGAGCTGCTCAGGGCAGTTCTACCCTGCCGAGCTCACTTCCCACGCAATGGCTCAGGCCAGGACCACAGGCACTGGAACAGGATGTCTTGATTTTCCCATGTCAGACCCAGTCTCTCCTGCCCCGCCCTCTTGCTCCACAGGCCCCTGGGACTCCGCTGGCACTGGGGAAAGGGCCAGGCCACAAAGCCTGGATCACTGCAGCAAAGGAACGGCTTTTAACAGCAGCAGCCAGTTCCCCTGGAATGGCTAAGGCCAGGTACGCAGGGGGCACTCCTTGTCTGGGTGGCAGTGGTGGGGCACCATGGTGCAGACACAGAGCTATATCAGAGCCAACCCAGAGTCACAGAGACCCCTCCCCCAGCAGGCATGAGCCACTGGTATCTTCCATCTGGAGAACTCTGTGCCCGGGCAGCGATGATACTTTTCCAACTGTCGGGCAAGAAATCCACCACAGGAGGGAAACCGAGGCACTGAGCATGCCCACATCAAGTCAGGCACTTGCAGCTGGCTGCATTTGCCCACTGCTCTGAGATCCTCATGGGAGGAGCCAGCTGTGTAGGAGCAGCTGTCCTATGAGTGTGTCAGGGATATGGTGTGGTGTATGAACAAGTGCCTGTGTGTGTACATCGGGGGTGCAGGGAGGTGCAGCGTGTGTGTGTGCACTCATGTGCAGGCAGTCCCAGGAATGAGCGTGCCTGGCCTGAGAGGGAGTAAGGAATTGCTGACTGGGTGGGCTGGACTGATCCCCCCCAGTTGTGGGGCTGGGCTGGGCATTCACCAGGCCAAACACCTCTGCCTTGCAGCTCCAGGCTAAAGCAGGGCAGAGAAGCCAAGCAGCACGGAGACAGACCATGTGGCATTGGCACTAGTAGGGAGCCCACGGCTGGCTGCAGTCAGACCAGAGAGCAGTGGCCTATTTTTCCCCATGAGCCAGTGGGAACCTTGGCACCTTCCCTGACCTCAGTGCGGCTACATGAATTCTTTATCAGCTGCAGCTTTTGCCTTACATTAAACATGAGGCAAAAGCACCAGCCGAAGCCAGACACCACTTAGCCACAGCGCGTGCTACCCAGGAGCTGGAGCCAGCCCTGCCCACGAAGGGGCCATGGGAATACGTCTGCTGGGCAGCTCCACCAATTCAGCCTACAGCGCTTAGTGCCAGCCTCTCTCAGGTTCCTGGCTCCTCCTCCCGGGGGTTCACACCCACCACATGGTGAAGACCCTCGTTCCAGAAGGTCCAGGACAGGGGACGTCACAGCCCATGACATGGGCCATCAGGTTCCTGGGCTCCTTTGCATCCCCCTCTTGCTGCCAGAGAGGCGATTCCCACCTCAGGACAGCAGCCTTTGACAGGGCAGCATGAAGCTCTCACTGCTCCCTGGAAAAGGCCCCATGCTCCAGGGTGACACACTTTGCCACGCCAGCTCAGTAACTACATTAGTTACCTCCCAGAACACATATGAAACCTGGCCTGGCAGGAGCAGGGATCCAACCTGCAGCCCCAAGAGAGCTGGCCTGAGTGGAGGCTGTGGTCGATACTGCCCACTAGGGGGCGCCACACCCTCACACATTAAGCTGGTGCATTAGAGTAATTGCTTAAGGCTGGAAGGGACCTCAGGCGGTATCTAGTCCAGCCCCCTGCCCAAAGCAGGACCAACCCCAACTAAATCATCCCAGCCAAGGCTTTGTCAAGCCAGGACTTAGAAACCTCTAGGGATGGAGATTCCACCACCTCCCTAGGAAACCCATCCCAGCGCTTCCCCGCCCTCCTAGTGAAATAGTTTTTCCTACTATCCAACCTAGACCTCCCCCACTGCATTAGGTACGCCTCTGGGTGGGGACTGGATTCTGTGCCAGGGACCGAGCTCCTGTTGGCGAGAAGTGCCTGAGGCTGATACGTGGTTACAACTGAGGTTCTTGCAGGCACCTGTGTGCAGTTAATTGCTCCGGAGTACGAGCCGTGGCTGCTGAGAGCTGGCATCGAAGCTGGCGACATGGGCTGGTCAGAGCCTCTGGATTTCACTAGGTTTCATCATGATCTTAAGGAAGCCCAGAGAGGCCTTGTGAGGTCCAGTCCCAGCACCTTGGGAGCCCTAGTCCCTGCACTGCGAACAGTTGGGAAGACAAGGAAGAGCCATTGGGCACCCACAGAGTCCCTGGCATCCTCTGTCCTCCTGGGTAGGTGCTATGGTCTAATGGTTAGAGCAGGAGTCTCCTGGGTTCCATGCCCAGCTGGGGAAGGGGGAGTGTGAGGTAGTGGTTACAGGGGAACTGGGGGCACCAGGAGTTCTGGTTCCATGCCCAGGTCTGGGGTGGGAGTGTGATGTAGTGGTTAGAGGGGACCTGGGGGCTAGGTTCTGTGCCCAGCTGTCACTGGCTGCCTGACCTTGAACATATCCGCTCCATGTCCGCGCTGCACCGGGGCCGGTGACCGGTTCGACGTAGCCCCATTGCTAGATGGGGACACTTGCCAGGGTCAGGAGCCTGCACATAGGGATCGGCCGGTTCCGGGCTGTGCCCAGGAGCAGGAAGGAAGCGGAGGCGCAGAGGGACCCTGCGTAGGTTGGAAAAGCCCCTGCGGGGATCTCCGTCTCCGCTCCACCGCCTACTGCGGGGCCCTGCCGGGGCTGCGGGCGCCCTAGCCTAGCCACGGGTTATGTAACCGGCCGAGCCGCAAACCCAGAGCCGCAGCTGCCCCGCTCCGGAGCGCGCGCTGCGGGGAGCCCGAGGGCTGTGCTGTGCTGGGGCAGCCCGGTGGAAGGAGGAATCCCGGGCTGGGGCAGCGGGTCCGGACCGATCTATGGAAGGGTTATGTAACCGGCCGAGCCGCAAACCCAGAGCCGCAGCTGCCCCGCTCCGGACTTCTAGTCCTCTCCCCCCAGCTGCCAGGGCGCAGCGCAGCGCCCTCCCAGGTCACAGCCTCCCTCCAAGCTGCATGAGCGCAGCGCAGCCCCCCCCCTTCCTCGGTGCGCAGCCTGCTCCCTGCTGCATGGGCGCAGCGCAGCCCCCTCCCCCCAGCTACCTGGGCGCCTCCCAGGTCACAGCTCCCCGCAAGTTGTCCGGGCGCAGCGCAACCCCCACCTGCCTGAGCGCAGCCCTCCCGCCCCAGTTTCCAGGCCCCCTCCCCTCCCCGCTTGTGTTTACTCTCGGCCCGCCTTAGCCTAGTTTGGAAATGCAGCAGAGCGCTGCGCGCCCCCATTGGCTGCCCGGGGCTGTCAGTCGGGCGCCGCGCGGGGTCCGGCCATATGCTATAAAGGCGGCGAGGGCGCAGCCGGCTCCAGACTCACGATCGCCGCGCAGCGTCCGGCCAGGTCCGCTCCGCGCAGCGCCATGAGCCAGGTGAGGCTCGGGGCCGGGCGATGGACGGAGGGGCCGCGGCTGAGTTCCGAGGGGAGCCCGGCTGGGGGGAGCCCGGGGACCACCGCGCTGCGCCCCCTGGCTGGTCCCACAGATGCTGGAGATGGGGGCGGGTGACCCTTTCACCCGTGGCCGGCTGAGGGTGCGGGGGGAGACGCCTCCAGGGGGCTGGAATCGCCTCTCACCGCTGCTCCACTGAGGGGAGACCCCGGCTCGGCCTTTGCCCCCATTTGTCTTGCTGTCAGAGAGTCCCCTGGCTCCACCATTGAAGACCGGCTTGTCCCCAGCTCCTGGACATGCCCCCTTGCAGGGACTGAGTGTGCCTGGGGGGCTCGGGGGTGGTTGGCTGTGGGGGGTGCTCCCCTGTTGGGCAGGATGTGACAGCCCAGCCCCCGGGGGAAGGTTGCTAGGCCTAGG